AGCACTGTCTACCCTTTCTTGAGTTAGCCCAAAACAATACTGGTGTTACATTTGCTGTCTTCAGAGCCAGTCCCCAGCTGCCTCTATTGTGCCTGTTCCACCTCACTGCCAGATGGCATTCTCCTGGTTTGCATGCATTATAGGCAAGGTAACAGTTTCCTCCCCTGGCTTTGCTTTTGTTCCCTTTCAGCCAGTCCCCAACAGGCAGGGGAAACTACTACTCCACTACTCAACTCAACTACTACATCCACTACTCAATGGCAATGGAGCGGGTATGATTTTAAGACTGTCTGGTTTACAGAGGCTGGTTAGTCTGCCTCCTTCTGGGAATTTCCCAAGTGAAAAAAATGTGGAAAAATGGGAAGACCCCCAAAGAGGAAAAAAAACAGACCCTGCTCTGCTTGGATCACCCGTCTATAAAGTGGGAAAATTAAACTGGCAACTGCTGGGCAACCTCATCTCTTCAGCAAGGGAGAAGAGCAATGGGAATGGACACATATGTTGATACTGGCAAGTCAGCATTGGCACCTTCAGCATTTCTTTTCTGCCATGTCCCCTCATCTCATTCCCAGCCTGTGTGTGAGCCAGGTTCAACTCATCCTTAGCTGTATCAATATTAAAGTCATGTTTTCTCCCTTTTCCGAGGCTGTTCAAGAGCAGGCTCAAGGGGTATAACATCTGTTGGGTTGGGTCACCCATTACCTTGGAGAGAAGCCAGGGGAGTGCAGAGATTTGGAACAGAATCCCTAGAGCAATGTTTCTCAACCATGGGAACTTTAAGATGAGTGGACTTCAACTCCCAGAATTCTGGGAATTGAAGTCCACACATCTTAAAGTTGCTAAGGTTGAGAAACACTGCCCTAGAAGCAGGGTAAGGATCACCATTTGGGACAGGATCTTTCATTGGTACTAGATCCTTCTAATAACCATGCAAATGAGTGTCCTTCTTTCTCCTTCATCCTTGAAAGAACAAATCCATGCCCTGGAAGCCCAGACTATCATCTACATAAGCTGTGGAAAGGAACATTCATTGGCCGTCTGCAACCAAGGGAGGGTATTTTCATGGGGAGCTGGTGGTTTTGGACAGCTTGGCACTGGAAAACTAGAAGATGTTTTCGTTCCAAAGTAAGTAACTGATTCATATACTGTAGTTGTCAAGTTAACCTTGCCTAGGCCATAGGAGTCCTGGGCTTCAGTCGGGAAAATGCAGGTTTGAATCTTCACTTAACTGGGCACTTGGAACACTCACTTTCTTCTAGCTGTGATCTCTGCTACATTTCTCAGTTGGAATAAATATGTAGCTTTACAAGCCCAAGTGGGAGAAGTTAGGGAACAAATTTGTGACCTTCTGCATGTTCCTTTTCATAGAGGTGGGGTGTTTCCTTTCTTGCTGGGTAAGAAAGTTTGGAAAAGCTGTTGCGACAGGAGCAAGTGGTGCTTGGTTCACATCCCTCCTATAACTGGGGATGGGAGGTTTCCTGATGATCAAGTAGATGCTGCTTCCTTAGACAATTGAGGCAGGCTCTCCAAAATAGCACTTGGTTTGAGTTTTATGAAATCATTAAAGGCTCTTTTGGAATGATGGAGGTTATAACTAGTGACTATGCATGTAAAAAGCATTGTATGTGTTCAAACAATTGTTTATTTCTTCATTTCTCAAGGAGACCTTGAGAATGTCTTCATTAAAGGAGACCTTGAGAATGTCTTCATTAAAATTCCTTAGCTATTAAATTTAGCAAAAGAATTTTAACATAGAAAGTTCTTTTTTTATTGTCTTTGTGGCTTTCTTGGATGATTTTTCTCTTTTTCTTGAAAACATTATTTGTGCTTTTTCATAGGTGCTGTAGCTGTCCCTTTCTTGTTTTTGGACTTAAAAAAAGCTTCCCAGAGGAATAGTCATGTTAGCCTATTATAAATAAATAAATTGTAGCTTTTTAAAGGGTTACAAATTTATTCTTGCATAAGCTTTCATGGCTCACAATTTACTTCATCATTCTCCTTCCATCTTATTATTTGTTCTTTTTTTAAAAAGCAGTGTTACTGTAGATTAGCTTTCCCTAATCTGGTCCCTTGAAATATTTTGGTTTGTAACTCCCATTAAACCCTGCTGGGGATGATGGCAGTTACAGTCCATCTAACCAAAGGGCATCGATGTGGCAGAAATCACCTTAGAATAGAAGCTAAAGAAAGAAATTATTTAATGGATTACTCAAAGTTTTGCGAAACATTCAGTTCCAATATTTTTCTCTAATTAGCATATGTGTCTAGTGTAATTAAGATTTGAAATCATTACTATTGATTAAAATACAATTTGGTAGATAATTTTGGTAATGCTTATCCTATTATTTGATTAATTGATTGACAAAGCCATTTTTTAAAAAAATTGGTAATACCCAATTTTCCTTTTAAATAGATAAAGCTGCAATGCCAAGAATCTTTACATGATGGTGTGGTTCTGTTTCTGGAATGCTAATTAATTATTTCTCTTCTTGTTTGGTAAATTCTATAGGAAAATAAATTCTTTATCTATGTACACTGTTATACAAGTTGCTTGTGGACACTATCACTCCATAGCACTAACCAAAGGTAAGAACTGATTTTACTTGTTTTGCCACACTTTTGCTTTTTTCTGTGCTTAATTTTTTTTTGGGGGGGAGGGCTCATTGTGGTGCTAATATCATTGTTCTGGGTGTCTACACAGTTGCTCCTTCTTATTTAAGATATTCCTAGGCAGAGAGTAGATTCCTTAAAGATTAAGTTACTACAAATCTGGTTTTGATACAGAATTTAGAAGGCAAAGCTTGGTGTAAAAGAATGGGCAAGCATACAGATAATGCCCTTCTTATCCTCATCAAGGCAACCTATCCTCTACCAGTGATGTTAACCTGAAATATGCAGCCAAGGAGAATGCAGATATATACATGGGATGACACTTACCAGCCCGGTAGTTGTTGTATGTGAAAGCTTTCAAATTAGACTCTGAAATCTATTGCCCCGACAGTTCAGAGAAGATAATGTGACATGGAAAGAATCTCCACAAAACAGAAAGCTTGAAAGCTGTCCTTCTACTTAGAAGAAATGGCAATGCAAAGCCTGTAGGCATAAAAGTATTCACGATAACTCTCAATGGTTTTTATGATATTCCACCAACTGGTTAAAATGTTCCATGAGGTCTACAAGATTTCAGGAGAGAGCACATATGGTTTTGGGGTGTGATCACTGATAACTCATGAGATCTGGGAGACTTGTGAGATGTTTGTCATCTTAAAAGTTGGGGGGTTATCTGTGCCTTCCTGAAAAAGTTGCCAATTCATATTTTAATGAATGTAATGGTGTTTGGTTTTTTCCCCCCTTGTCTTTCTTCTTCTTCCAATGAAGATGGTCGAGTTTTTTCATGGGGACAGAACGTACATGGTCAGCTGGGCCTTGGTAAAGAATTTTCATCCCAAGCTAATCCATGTAACATTTCCTCTCTGGCTGGCATCCCCTTGGCTCAGGTGGCTGCTGGTGGGGCACACAGCTTTGTCTTGTCCCATTCTGGAATAGTCTATGGCTGGGGAAGGAACAATGCACATCAGCTGGGCTTGAGTCAGAAGACAGCAAAAGGTAAGCCTGTCTTCAAATTACTCAAGGAAATATCACTTGATAATCCACTTCGATAATCCATGCTGCTTGATTACTTCCTTTTATTGAAGAGAAAATGTTTGGGGAATATCAAGAATCCAATTGTCACGTACAATAAAAATGTAACAGTAAATCCTGTGATAAATTTCTTAATTTTGTTGTTTCAAAAAGAAGTTACATCAGGCTTGGCCCTGCAAAACATGATACATTCTGAATAAGTGAAAGTGGATTTCATTTATTTAAAGTAAAATACTTCCTCCATCTGGCTGGCAACTGCAAACATTATTAAAAGCAAGACTGGTCACACTAAGCCATAGTATGCTTGCTTTGGTTTAAATGTTATGAGACCCCAGCCGCTGTGGGTACAAACATGGTTTCTGTCTAAGTATGTTGTGCTAGTCCAGCCTGCTGTGGTTCATTCAATAAAACATAAAGAAACCCAGCTTGATGTATGACTCCAGATGAATAACCAGGACATCTGCACTGTCAACTCTGTGAAGGTTGCCAGAGGCTGGACCTTAGATTTCAGAGGTAGATACACTGCCTCCGTTTTATGGATCATGATCATAACCTCAGCCTATAAACAAAAGAATCCAAAGCTAAGGATTGCATTAAGGGGACGCGGTGGCGCAGCGGCTTAATGACGCTGAAAGTTGCCGGCC